AAGAAGGTCACAGTTAGTTACACAGTGACGTACATCACAAAGTCCGTGAAATTTCATAGGCCTAACGTAGGTAAACATAGAAAGAGCAATAATAGTAAAACTCGAGCGTCACGACATTGCGAAGTGTCTGCTCTTGTTCCTCGTATCGTACTCACTCGAGTCAATCCGAGATGGCCCGAGTGTTTGGTACGGAAAAAAAATCGCCGGCCCGCCGCCCTCAGCGGCGAGTGCGAAGCACAACTCGGGTCAAAAGTGGAACGTGAAATTTGGATATGGTTTTGTAGTCAGATTTGCGAGAAAAACTTCAGCTACCCGTATTTCTTGACTGAGACGTCAGTGGGAGCTGTAATTTGTATGACAAGGAGATTGTGCAACCCTTCATTCATATTAAGGGAATTTACGCCCAGAAACTTTGTAGTTATTAATATTTTGGTTATAATAGAAAAAATTCATTTTTTTGGTGACGTCACACTCACATTAGTTAGCATGCATACGTCATAAGCTAGATACGTCACCTTTTCCTGGTAAGGCAAACTTTCCCGGCGTGCTTATTCATGGATAAACAAACACCACTGTTTTGCACATGGATGCCTTGCCCAAGCCAGGGCTACAAGAGCCGCATTGTTATCATTGTATAATACTTAAATAAGGTACCTCTGCAAATGAATTATTCTTAGTTATTTTTTTGTTCTTATTTTATTTATTTCTTCCGAAAGTGTACTTTCTATCACATATAATTCCACTGTCTTAGTTAGGCCTAGTCTTATATGCCTCATCGTCCCCCGCTACACAGTACATCAGGAGCACCTCCCCCATACAGTACAGACGTTTGCTAGGTAACAACGTGATTGCACCTTCCTTCCCAGGTGTTCATGTAACCTTGACATAATTGTTAGCTAACCAGTTGTGTGTATTTCTTTGTGAAAATGAGTACCGCGGCGTACTCATTTTCACAAAGCATTTGCATCCCCTCTTGGAAAGAGGGATTCGAAATAATTGTCTCCATATCTTCGCTAATTAAATTAATCACCGTAATTTAGCTTACACTTATGAATTTAGGGAGCACTTAAAAAATGTGAAATAATCATTTCACTACCAGACAAACTCTGAACTTTATTCATTCGTTAGGCCTACATAATAGTTTCATATTGCTGTACTATATAGTACTCCAACATCACTGGCGCATGGTAACAACCAACTGACTGCAGACCATTTCCGGTCACACACTCTCCATAACACAGCACACCCTAGTTCCGTCACCTCTGGATTACGTCACCTTTTCCTGTTAAGGCAAACTTTCCGGCGTGCTTTTCTCATGGATAAACAAACACCACTGCTTTGCACATGAATGCCTTGCCTAGCTAGGGCTACAAGAGCCGCATAATACTTAGGCCCTAGTAATTATTTTTCTTATTTTAATTTATTTCTTTCGAATGTGTACTTTCTATCACATAGGCTAATTAATCGCCGTAATTTAGCTTACACTTATGCATGGGGGGAGTACTTAAAATGTACAATAATCATTTCACTACCCGACAAATCCGAACTTCATTCATGCATCACATAAATAGTTTCATCTTGCAGTACTCCAACATCACTGGCGCATGGTAACAACCAACTGGCAGACCATTTCCGGTCACATATTACTCTCCATAACGCAGCACCACCCCCACCCCTAGTTCCATGTCCTCTGGGTAAAGTTTATTTTAATCAATTTATATATTTTAATGTAAAAAATGAGTGAGTGGGAAACACTGACTTTTTGACCTACAAGCTTTTCCAGCTTAATCTAGCTTTTTAGTCAGTTGTATCAGTGAAAGTGCCTGAAGGTTAGATTTTTCGGTTACCTATAAGTCTCTTAACGGGTTATTAATTACCGTGAAGGAGGTTATGTATTCACTGCTGACTGTCGGGCTGTCAGTCTGTCTCTTAGCAAGAATACTAATAGGCCTAATCGAAAAAATATTTTTATACTGTCAAGCATAAAAGAATACAATGAAATGGCCCCTCGTATTGGCAGCACTCAAGAAAACAATGTGCCTGAATAGGAGGGACGATTCCATAACTTTTTAGGGCATTTTGCAGTGTCGCCCATCATACAAGGTATTTTTGGTACTGCATTCAGGCACATGGTGGTAGGGTTAAGATCGAAGTACACATACGTCATCTTTCATCAAGAATAATAATGTAGGACTACTGGGCCAACTTCGGATTTGTAATAGGTAGTACTAAAACAAACAAGTCAATTAACTCATGAACGGTAGGTGGATAGGCAGGCGGCTAAAAACAACGGAAGTAACCAATTCTTTTTGCAATACAGTACCTTCATCATATTTCGAAACATCATTTTGAAATCAGTCTATTGTGCGTTTGGTATCAGCAGCATGCAGAATGGGGTACCAGGAAGAAATGAAGCGCCGATGGTGGTGGGTTATGACGGCAATGACTGTACTGATAATGTATAGTGTCTTCGGGGTGATGAACTCTTATGGACTGTTTTTTGGAGAACTTCAAAAAGAATTCAATACAACAACAGTCGCCACAGGTAAGTGATATAAAATATCTCAGCTTCTTTGTTCCAACAGCGTTAGATTGTTTCGGTTGAGTAACCTTCAATGTTTGGCGTGTAGGTGAGGGCGCAAGCCGCGTTCCCACTAAGGAACTCGCGCTCCCCCAGTCCTCCCTCATTGAAGATGTTTGAAGCCAGATAATGGCGCTCACGTAGAAAAAAAATCACCTCATATCTCACCTTATTTTGCACTTAACCATCGCCCCTCCCCCATAGCGCCCAATTTCAAGACTCATATACGCCAATGTTAGCGTTTGAACTGTCAGTCCATCAAATCAACTGTCATTAGCGGTGCGTATATGGATTCATTGCGCGTTACACAGGTTACACGTTGAATACGATGTGTTTGAATATCTTATCATGAGTTTACTATTGTGGTAGACATTCGTCAAAGAATTTAACATTTCTTAAAGCATTCGAGAGAATATATACAGTAATGCATTTTGATCGCTGCGCAGGCAGATAAAATTGTGTGATGATTTAAATCATTGAATATTCCTAAAAATGTTCAGTCTCTTTACTTTATTAGGGTCCATTGACTCAAGGAATTCCTTTATTTTTCGTACATTATATAGAATTTGAAGTAAATTCTATCAACCTTGTTTTACAGAAGTCATTTTTTTCAATTACAACTGTTGGGTGAGTGTCTGCCTCTCTTTCTGCAGGCGTGCGTCAAAAGTGCTAGGTGTAAAAACACAAGCCTATTGCTAGAATTCACCGCTGTGCACAATAAATTTCGCACAGGTATTGAAAGAAGATCAAGCAAACCGCGCACAAAATGAAAAATTGGGAATAGGAAAATTACATTGGGAGATACAGTGAAGACGTCACGATTGACTTATAATAATAAATTACTAATAATAATATAGTGTATTTTTGCAAAGAATTTCTCTACGCGCTTTCCAACAACTCAAATGTTTTATTTTATTTATTTTTTGTTATGATGTATTGATAATGATAATAATAGGCTTAATGAACAGAAATTAATAGCAAAAATTCTAATAATTATTTTAATATTTTTTAGCAATGATAATGGGACTAGCAGAAAATTTTCGGTCGTACAACAATTTCCCTCCATCATTGTACACTTTTCTAGTGGGGGCATCTGGGGTGGGTGGCAAGCATTATAATATTAACTTCATTCAGTGTTACCAACAACCTAAACACCTGCTCATTTTAAATACACAGTACCAGTCTAAGTTGCCAACACGATTATATGAAGATATGCGAAAAAGTGTAAAACTTGTAGTTTAATTTTATGCCCCCTAATATTAAGACAGGTCTCAAGTGATTCAGGTAAAGTCGAACCCACGACGTACGTTCATAGTGACATGGGCGTCGATAGGTGGTGAGAGACATAGCCCAATATTTCAAAATGGGAGAGTCATATCAATTGCCCTCCACCACCGGACTAATCACCATTCTTCTATGGTTAAAACCCTTTTTAAAGCAAGTAGAGTAGAAAGCATTATAACATGAGCTAATCAGTACGGTAGATAATAAATAACATATTATCATTATTTTGTGAATGTCATTCTGCACAAAATATGTAAGTGGGCTTTTCGAGGTAAATAGAAACATTTTTTATGAAGATTATTCTGAAAAAGTGGTGTGTAACTAAAAAGTTAATTGTAAATAATTCAAATCCAGCGGGAAGGGTTTCGCCTTGTGACGCCTACTCTAAGGTAGGCGTCTCAATCCATTGCTGACCACTTTGCTTGTGTCTTTGAGCCAAGCACTTTATCTGCATTGCTTCCGTGTAGTAGGCCTACTTGGTAGGGTTCCCTACTCTCCGTATTGATTACAGCAACGACGTAAACATGACCAGGGACACAAGCCCTTCGTATCTGCAAAGGAAGGCTCTATATAAATAAACGAAAAAATATTTAATTAAAATCCGTTATCTTGAAACAGAATTGCCTTACAAAATGAGTGAACATTATGTTATTCATGTGCTTCCGTACCGGTAATTGAATGGATCTGAGCACACGTACGTCATCCGTTACGGTACAGTATGTCAATACATCATGCATATACTGTATAATATTCTTCTTAATAGGTCAATTTAAGCATTGGATCACAGTTAGTAGGCCTATTTGTAAAACAAACATTGAGGTCTATAAACCCATCATGATAAGCGGATAAGCAGCTGAAACACCAACGGAAGCAATTAAAACAAACAAAAAAACAAAAAAACAAAAGTCTTAAAATGAAATGTCAAGAAAAATTGAAGCGCTGATCTTATGATGGCTATAACACTATGATTTACTCTGTCTTCGATGTGATGTACTCTTATGGAGTGTTTTTTTGGTGAACTTCAGAAATAATTCAATTCGACAGTCGCCACAGATAAGGGATATGCCATATACAATAACTATATAACTTTTATGTTCAAACAGTTCAAGAAGCATTGTTCGTTCGTTTGAGTAACTTCCGGTACTTTTAGCTTATATACTGAATCAATTGTCATTCGGTAAGTGGTTTATACTATATGCTCTCTCGGTGTATTTATTTTGCAATGTGTGTGTGCAAGGGCGTCAATCCGTGGTTGAAAATGGGGGTGGGGGCAGCTGCAAAATGAGGAAGTCTTGGGCCGTAGACCCAAGCCTTGGCTGAGGGCTATGGGACAGCCTGGGCCCCCGGTGGGGCTCGATGGGGGATATGCTCCGGAAGTACAGGCTTTCTGGTGTTTTAAGTCTTATGTTACTGTAATTCATTTTAAGGAATACAATTGACATTTTTTTTTTCACATAGAGGGAGCCCAGGTAGGGATTTTAATTATATGGTGTAGACCACCTCATCCCCACCATGATTGGGACTGAGGTAAGAACATTTATGATTAAGGCACCTCTACAGTAGTTGGCCTGAAATGGCACTTTTTGATATAAAATTAACTTTGAACATGTTCTATATAATTTTTCTTTTTTTCTCTCCACTTTTTATAATTTGAAAATATTATTGAGACCGGGCCGGCTGGGCCCCTTGAATCCGCCACTGCAATATTCATCATAAAAAGTGTTTCACTCATTATGGGTCCGCTTATATATTTTGTGCAAATTACCATCTATAAAAATCGTGATTTTTTTTATCTACTGATTAGCTCATGTTAATGTATTCCCCTTAATTAATTTGTTTGAAGGGCCAAATTATTTTTAGAATTGATCTGACGGGCCAGAGATAATCTCAGTCGAGTTGAAAGCTTTCGTTATACATCTTGGTAAGCATATTTCCTCGAAGATAGGTCTGTTTGAAATTGTAGGGGTCAATATTTTAAAGGTAACAGACCAGCGGTCATGACCCAATCGGGTCACTGATAATTTATGTGTGGACCTGTCTTCAGTTTAACAGTCGTCAGTCTAAATACAACAAGTTTTCCGCAAATACACAAATATGAGCACTGCCTGTTGGTACACTAACTGTTTATTACACCCGTAAAGTAAAGAATGTTATTAACAAATCATAGTGAATAGAACAAAGAAACAGAGACGGAACTTGGCGTTGTATCATCCACAAACGTAATAATCAACCACTAATGTTATATTACCACTAACGTAATTTAAATCAACCACTAACGTAATAAAGTCATTAACATCTAACGTAATAACACTTTAACCACTAACGTAATAAACATCATTAACCATGTAATAACGTTAAGTTTTTACAAGGAAACGTTGGACTTAAAAAACATCCTAAATTAAGTGAAAATACTTTTGAAGTGAAAAGTCAAAATTTATGGAGAAAAAGTCCAACAACAAAGTTAAAATGTATTTTGTTATATTTAAGATTGAAGTTCATGAAACAAATATCAACATCGACATTAGTCTAACTGGAAGGAAACATAATATATTCAAAACAGATTTTAAATAATGTAAAGTTAAAAAGTATCCCTAAACATAGTGTTATATTGAGGAGCCTATTAATAATTTTTATATCTAATTGATAATAAACTGAAGATCTGATCATCTTAAAATGCTCAATTAATTAGATTACTTGTAAAGAAAAAATAAATAATAGGCCTATAGACCTATTTTTATTGACTTGATCCTAATTCCTGAAATATATCTCCTTCATTATTAAAAACAGATTATTTCTTGCACTAAGATGTTCCATATTACTTTTTGCACAAATAGCGTTCCACACGTTTGTTGGGTTTAGGGACAGTGTGGATTTTGACTTTTTGCGCCACGATTTTGTGGTGTAACGTGATGTCAATAAAACGTTTTTGAGTTGGCTAAAACATTCTTAAATTAAACTGTTCTAAGATCAAAGATCGTACACCGCTACGTGAAAAGTTAAATAAAAACCGTTTGATTGGATTAGTTATTCATGACCCACCCATTTAGCCAAATAGTACGGAGTCCGTAAACGAAAACTGTATACTAAAAGTTCAATGTTTATTTTCCACAAACACTATTACATGTTAATAGGGAGATTTCGTTACATTACGAAAACTATAACGAATACGAATACGTCATTATCATTAACGTCATTTGTGCCTAAAACAATATGCTGTACGAGCTGAATATGATCCTTGATTCATGTAAAAGGCATGAATAGTCACCCTGTTACAGATATGCTGCTGTAGGGGAAGGGTTGTCTAAGAAATTGATGACGTAACCGTATTTGTTATCGTTTTCGTATGGTTGCGAAAACTCCCTAATACTGTCATAATTCTTGCCAAGGTTTGATAACTGCAATCGATTTTGAGTCACTCTTATTCAATTGAATAAGATTTGATCTTGGCAGATGAACTTGACCTTTCTTTTTCCAAATGTTTTAATATGATTCAGATTCAGTTAAATTTGGATGCAGTTGGAACATTTATAATTTGACCTATAACAATTAA